ACAAATGTTCAAATGTTCAAATGTTTTTAACGTATTTGGACATCAGTAGTTGCCGGAGGGTCTATTGCTCAGTACATACTCGTAAAGAAAAAACAAACAGTTTTTATGGCCTGCCATTATTGAAGGCAATTGGCGGGTTCTAGTCTTTATTTCACACTAAAATTGATATAGAAAATCAACTGAGACACAAATTACCTATGCTTCTTCTGCTAAATATTGTGAGATTTTGGTTCAAGATTTTCAATACAATAATAATTTTTAATAATTATTCTATTTGAGCTACCAACCAACATTTTGCTTAAATATATTTAAGATTCTTTTGTGGAGATTTAAGATATTTTCATAATTACCTTTATACTAAATTATTTTTAAATGAATATGTTTATATGGAATATATAGAATTTTTTATTTTTATTATCATTTGGTCACGAAATGTTGAGTAATGAGTCATGGGGTTATCAAGAGATTTGGGAGATTTAGCTATGAAGATGGTTAATTTTTTACGAGTATTTAACTTAATATTGATGTTAAACAATTAAGTTATAAGCAGACAGTTCATTATTATTAATTTTATTTTTATATTAAATTAACAAAACTCCAGAAAAATGTGCGAACATAAAGGTCAAGTACACCTTTGGGTCAGATAGTTAAGGTGTGCCGACACTGAGCTTTAAATTTGGTAGGGTACGAATTCGATTTCTGGTACTTGCAGTCTCAAAAAATTATTTAAGAATAATTAAATACAGAAATTATTTCCAAGACCACTGATGATGGGTATTTGTCAATAATCAACACAGCTGTATGGTCAGCCAAAAACTCAATTAATTAAAATAATATAAAATGAATTTATGTTGTTGTAGTTCATTACTGTTCACTACTGTCATTACATAAAAATAATAATTTTGTTTATTCATATTAAATCTTTTGTGTAATATTATTATATTAATAATTAATAAATTTAATTGTGATCAAAAATAATTTATCATTTTTTAAATAAAAACTTTCCAATGCCATTTTCTGTCCATGGTCTTCTCAGTATTTATTTATTGGATGTTTCACAGATTCGTTCCCACAGTTACTAATTTGTCACTGAATTTTTTTTTCAAATACATATAACTATTGCTTAATGTTTTAAATTATTTCCTTAAATATATACATATATACATATCACTTTATCCGTTAAATGAAATTATTACCATTTAATCAGATGGAAAACAGAGTTGGACTATGAGAATTTTAGCCACATAATTTAGAATTACTAAATTGTAATCGGTTCGTTCTTTAAATGGTTTATTAGTCGTTGTTCTCTTATTAGGAATTTTCTGCTTAACGAAATATGCAAATTACGTTTAAGACAATTTTCAATTTGTTTTAATCTGCAATCTTCTGTTAGAAATCCTGTTCTCAGTCTTAAGCTCTTCTTAGTTTAGGTTAAATAATGGCGTTTTCGTTTAGACGCGTTTTTGACTTCCCGCGCATGCTCATTTGGCTTCAGTTTATTGTAGAGTTAGCAACTCTTTTCACTACTTAACAGATACATATCGATATTTATTTCTATTTAAGATATTATAGTTTAAAGTTGTAAGTTTTATCCATTGATATTTCACTAACAAATACTACATAAGGCAATATGAAATGAAAGACAATGAAGTCAATTAAGAAGTCTGGCGGATATCCCAAACATAAATCTTTGGAAAATAATCTCCATTATCAACCGCTCAAGTTGGTTTTAAAAATAGAGATTTTCATAAATAGGTTTATGGTAAAGATTCCTTTGCTGCCACTAAAACCAATCTAACCAAACTATTTACCATTTTTACATTAATTATATTACCTACTGATAACAACTGTTGTTGATGGTTTCCATATAAAAATATTCAATCTTAAAGCACGATACCTCAAACACTAAGCTATATGAGCATAAAATATAGTGTAGCGGAAAAAGTTTTTCAGAATAACTGTCTTTATTTACATCGACACCAAGGTTGCTGTTTCATTTTTTGGAAATTAATTTCCTATTTCGTAAACTTCAACTTTAACATATCTCGAAATCCATAGAGTTTAAATTTATCTGTTTTTACCACGTATTTTTAACATTTCTAGATATTCCATCCCTGGTTTAGATATAGCCTCATGAGATTTAAATATCATGACGGCAGCCTGTTTGCATTAGTATGTATAACCAAAGAATAATTTAGTATGGTAAGGGGTTTGGTATATATATTAAACCTGTCTGGAGTTACTGAAAGAAATAAAAAAATTATCAATAAGTTAATACGTGAGTCACTTTCAAAGTAGTCAGCAAAATGTAAGACAACTATGCCTAGGCGAATGACATAATGACATGGGACGTGACTCAATCCTAATAGTCATTGGAGGCCCGTAGCTAGAAATTTTAGTTTTGGGGATGTTTTTAGATAAAATACGGTACAAACTATACTTTTGTGTAAGGTTTATGCATGTCATCTAAAACTAATAATAAATATAAACATATGTATATACCATATATGCTTCTCAATCAAGATCATGAAGTGGGTAACATAAAATTGACCGAAATCCCGAAATTTATCATAACATCATGTTATTACATATATACAGTTTTTAGGTAACCCAGTTCGTGGTCTTAATTTGTCAGCATTGTTTCAGTGCACTTATCGAATTTAATTATCACCCATAATACATCATATATTTGTATTAAGGTTTACCATTTTTTCAATTAAATCGTTTAACAAGCAATGTATAGAAGTTGTGTAAACTTATAATCAATTTTACAAGATATTTTTTTTCAGTAATATAGTTTATTAATCGCTTGATATATAAGTCAACAAACAATATCATTATCTATCATTTCGGGCAGTGGAAATTCACATGAATTGTCTCCGTAACCCATTGCATCCATAAAAACTCACCGATGAAATCGATCTAAACATTTGATGAGATTCTATTTTTTTCAATGTGATGAAAGTGTGACATAGACCCTCAATACTGTTTAGTACAGCTACAGCTATATGAAAACCAATTTTTTGTGTGAAATTGAAAATATAGGTTTGAAAAATATACAGGTACAACAGGACATTGCTATATGTAATACAACATGTTCTGCTTTGTTTTTGTTGGTCGGGAAATTTTCCGAATATATAACTCTAAGTTTTAGTGATGTAAATTGTTTACCAAGAACATGTAATTTATCACAACTTAATTTTTTTGTAGGTTTAAGCCAAAATATGTGTTTAAGTGAACAATTCTCAAACTCCCAACGCTTTCAAATATTTTGAATATCTTTTAAGTTATGGCCAAACAAATGCTAGTTGTAAGCCGATTAGTCATACAAAATTCATTTAAAAGGATATAGTATTATTAGATATTGCGTTGAAGACATTTACGTGATAAATTATGTTACTAATAGAAATGTCCAAGTAATATTATAAAATAAAAAATGCTCAAAATGTGATGTAGTATTAAAAAATACTCCGTTGAAGACATTTAAATGACATACAACGTCATTCCAAATCGCAAGGTCCAAACAATACAACAAAAAAAAAATGTCAAAATCTCCATTGTTTTGTATTTACGTTTACTTTCTGAACTATTAAATTGATAACCCTGTATATATGCCATTTAAATACTCGTAATAATTTCAAAAATTTAATTTATTTATTTTGTATTCAATGTTAGTTTGTATTAAAAATTCAATCTTTAAAAATGCAAAATCCATAAAATACGAGTATCTGTGTGGGCGAGAACATAAAAGTATCTCAAACAAGGTTTCGAAAATTAATAATGAAAATGCGCTTGAACATGTTTTGAATGTTCGGTTAGATTAGATAAATTAAACACAAAATTAATATAAAAATTGCTATTGTATTTTATGCAAATAATTTATGAAAAAGCATTTTAGATTGATTGAAAACTTCGATAAAATATGTGTTACAGTCCTCCATACCAGAAAGAAGCACTAAAGAATCGCATTTAATGAATTTCCATTATTTATGCTCATCAGTTTTTAAATTTCCTAAAATCAAGCCGAACCAGATGCCGCATTTGTTCATGACAGTTTATACGACTTCGTACTCCCACAGTTCCAAATTGAATTTTGTATGCGGGCCTGCCCGGTTGTCTGCCTGCTTAACTGCGATTAACCTAACAGTTTCGCAAGGCAGGAAAATCTCCCATTTCTTTCGTTGGGAAATAAACATAATGCCGTTGTTTGTATATTGCAAATGGCGTTTGCTTCCGGCAGTACACGATGCGATATTATGAACGCATGTGTAGGCAACGAATTTATTTATTTATTTATTTTTCTTTTTATTTTTTTGCTTGATTTTTTTTTTTGAAAGGAATTAAGATCGTAAAACTGCTGAAAAAAAATGAAAATTTTGTATTTCTTCAGTAATCCAGTGTTACGTTAGGGGAGTGAGAGAAAGGCTATAAAAGCGGAGAAAACTCATAAAAAGTTTTAACCCCCACGGAAGGGAAAGCCAAAATGGAAAGGAAATTGAATCCATTTGGTATTAGCTTTGCTCATAAATTATGTGGCCTGCTTACTTTTACTTTGTTGGATTGTTGGATTGGTGTTGTTATAATGGCAGAGCACAAAACGGAATTTCAGGGTTGAAAAAGTTTTAAATATGGAAATTAAATTCTTAGAAATTCACTAAAAGTGGTTCATTTCATACAAAATATCCATTTTTGAGGAGGAACTCATACCTCTTCTTAAATATTTCTATTATTTGAGGTTGAAGTTTTTATTTATTAAAATATTTGAATGGAAGTTTTTAAAAAAGTTGTTTGATATCTTTATCTTATACTCGTATTACTTTCGAAATTTTATGAAATTAAAAGCTAACTCTTAATTTCAATTCAGCATATAAAGAAAATAAAATTCTTTATAAAATATAAAACACAACATAAATCTATATAGACATAGTCTTATATAGGTTTTTGTTTTGATTAATATTGAAATTTTAGAAATTAATTACTTCACCAGAGATTCGTTCTACCTGTACGTCTTTCTCCGCTAACTACCACTATAAATAACTTTTTAGCTGGATCATCTTCATCCATTCTCACGATATGATCAAGCCAGTGTTGATTCGCTGTACAATATCAACATCGTGATAAGGTTCGTACAGCTCGTGATTCATTCGTATACAGTTGTCGTCGCCATCTCGTTGAGGACCCAAAAATTTACGAAGAACTTTTCTCTCAAATACTCCCAATGCTGTTTCGACATTCTGTGATAGCGTTAATGATTCCGCGTCATACAGAAGCACAGGTAAATGAGTATCCCTTAAAGCATAAGTTTCATCTGTTGATAAATCTCTATATTTAAAATTGCGTGTTGAACCCTTTAAAAGCACCTATTAACAATTGTGGTTCTTCGTCTTATATCCAGGTTGACATCGTTGTTGTTTGTTACTGCGGTGTCTAGGTAGTTGAAATCCGTGACAGATTCAATAGGAGATGCAGTTATCTACCAGTAACTGGTATATCCTTCATATTGCCCTCATTCACTGCTAAACCCTAAGCCCTATTTTTGTAATGTTTTCACAAATTAATTTGATGAAACAACACGTAAATCTAAACTAAATACCATAGTTAATTAAAATAAAAGCGTTAAATTTAAAAAAATTTCTCGAAAATGCATTTAAGTAAATTTTTGTTCTTAAATAGATAAAACTTCTTGATATAATTAAATATGTCTTTGGTACATTTTGAGAAAACGACAGAAAAAAGGTGGTCTGAATAATTAGTGGACTGTCAAACCGTAGAAGATGAAGAGAATTTTTTCCAGTCACAAATGCAGAGTTGAAATTAATTCTGGTTCTGTATCCAATATTTTAAAATAAATTTTATTTATACATTGTTTTCTTAATATATATATATATATATTATTATGTTATACATATGTAATACATTAATTGAAATACAACGGTTTTTATTTTTTAATTTCAATATAAGTATGAAAGATTCTAACACTGTTCATACCAATCATATTTGAAATAAATAAATATAATTATATGTTAAATTGTCTTCATATAATATCATACCCATATGTGTATGTTAATATATACAAATGTTATGAATAATTAAATAGTAGCAATTGTAATAGTGCTATCTACAAAGCACTGTTTTTTTAAATACATACTTATTTTTTACCTCTATTATATATTAAATTTAAAGTTACTAATTATTTAAACTTCATATATTTGAAAGCTATGGTATATAAAGTAGTTTTGTCATAATTAAAAAATTTTCATAAATTTTTTCACATTGTATAGTTTTTCAAGCTTAAGATACTTGAGAGGGATCAAGAAACTCTCTAGTCTATATAATTAAGTCATGCAGATGTCTTATATATAAGATTTTTGATTTTGTAGTAAAATTATATATAAAATATTTTAATGCTCACTCAGATTCATTGGACTGAATCAGTTCGTATTGCGATGCAGTGATATCAAGAAACAAGACTTTTCAAAATATATGCGACTTATGAAGAAAGGAATTTCATTAATTTTTTGTTGTTGTTTTTTTCCTCACATAATCTTTCATTTAAAAATTCGCTTTTCTGAACTACACTCCAACTTTTAACTATATCTGATATATCTGAACTATATCTGATAAATAATCGAAGTGATCAGTAAATTCGATATACTATGAGTGAGTTTTAGTTTCAGCAATTCTTGAGTTGTGAAATCATGTATTAGTTTTGTGTAACAAACATTTTTTACTTTGTTAATGTGGACATTCTTTGGTAATTTCGACTAAAAATCTAGACATTGATTAATATTTGCCAGATAATCGGTAGCGAGACCGAGTACTATCATAACAGCTGTAGATAATGACTTTTTGACTCTCAACACTGTATTCGCCTTCTCTCAATCTTATTCACCTTTTCCAATTCATCGCCTTAATTGATCGGATCGAAAGTCTTGTACCTATTACGTATTATCAATACTAATAGATCTTTGCAAAAATATTTGATTATACCATTCCAAAGCGTTTTAGAAATTTTTAAATGATTCCGTTTTTAGTCGAACTTAACGTATGAAGTGCTTTTCGAATATATAATTCTGAAATATTAAATTGGATTTATTACTGCAGAAGTATTGAAATTTAACAATTAAAAAAAATAAAAATATAATTAATTAATTAATTCAATTATTCTACAGCTGGTTTATGATTTCGTTATAATATAAACACAGCAAGTAAAATTGGTAATAAAAAAAACTTTCATAGCAAAAGTAACAAAACTCCAGAAATATATGCGAATATAGAAAGTCAAGTACGGCTTTGGATCAGTTAGTTAAGGTGCGCTGATTCTGAGCTTCACATTTGGCAGGACCCGAGTTCGATTTCTGGTACTTGCAGTCTCAAAAATAATTATTTACGGATAATTAAATATAAATATTATTTCCAAGACTACTAATGATGGGTATTTGGCAATTCTCGAAACAGCTGTATGGTCAGCCAAAAATTCAATTAATTAAACTAATATAAAATGAATTTTTTGTTGTTGTAGTTTCACTATTGTTCGAAAAAACTTCTTTGTTAAATTTTTTTATAAAATGTTTATAATCTTAAATGGTTTTGAAAAACAAAAGCTGCATCAAAGTTAATAAAATTTTTAAGTGCGACAATAGTTCTACATAATTTTAGGTATGGATTATTTTTTTAATTCTCATTGTGTATAAAGTGCGTTTTATATAAATACTATGTATAGTATGTTCAATTGATATCAAATTTAATACAATATCATATCATTACCGTTTTATATTAACGTTGTCTTCCTGTGGTTGGCTAAGTTTCTATTTCTGAAATATTTTGGAAATGTGAAAGTTAGATTGGATTTTGTTTTTTTGTGTTTGTGTTTGCAATATTGAATGGTTTAAAAAAAAAGCTGCACATAAGTAAATAAAATTTAAAGTAATTGCACAAGCATTCCATGTAACCACATATCTTTTGTAATTCTCATTGCGTTTAAAGTGGATTTTTTATAAATGCTGTATGTTAGGTTTTTTTCTTTGTATTTGTTTTAATATAATGTAGGAGTAATATGAATTTTCGTTAAAAATTTTGAAATTTTTACATCAGGTTTACATCAGCATTATTATAATCATTGTTGTCTCGTGTTTATTATGATAACTGTAGAATGTAGTGTTTCCCGGTAAACAAATTCTCTGTGGTCGGTTGCTAGTGTTTTAACTTTTTTTAAAATTTTATGGATTTGTTTGAGTTTGTTATTGATTGTGTAATTTTCTTATTATTTTAAAATCTATATTTAATTGTGATACTGATGTTGATCTAAATGTATTTATCTGACATAATTTATCTTATAACTTATTTTTGAAGTCATGTTTTATCACAATATTGTTAAAGATCTTTATAGACTTTTAAAGAGTACATGTTAATTTATTATTTAAACTACAATAGAAAAGGAATGTTTGTTTATATTTTATTTCAAATTAGGTTATTCCTTGTTTTTAGTATTATGTTCCATTAATACCTATAAGTAAAATAAAATGATTATAACATATTACCACAAAAAATAATTTTCATACATTTATTTTTTTTAAGTAAATTAGTTTTAAAGCAATTATATTTTATAATATAGTAAGGCCAAAATAATGATGTTAGAATAGTTACAAGTTCCTTTATTTTTATTATTTCTGTTTTAAGAAAAGGCTTCTGGAAATTTTGAAAACAAATATTTTTTATTTAAATTAAAATTTTATTATATTATTATTATAAAGAGGTTTCTCGAACAGTAGTAAACTACAACAACAAAAAGTCATTTTATATTATTTTAATTAATTGAATTTTTGGCTGACCATACAGCTGTTTCGAGTATTTCCAAATACCCATTATTAGTGGTCTTGAAAATAATTCTTATATTTAATTATTCGTAAATTTTTTTCAGACTGTAAATACCTGAATTCGCGCCCTGCCGAATTTGAAACTCAGAGTCACTGTTCATTAGCCAACTGACTCAAAGCCGTACTCGATTTGTATGTTTGCATTTTTTTCTGGAGTTTTTGTTAATTGGCTGTGAAAGTTTTATTAACAAATTCACTTGCTGTGTTTATATTAAAACGAAATCATAAACCAGCTATAGAATAACTGAAATAATTAATTATATTTTTATTTTATATTTTTAATTGTTAAATTTCAATACTATTCTGTTTGTAGGGGAATTATTGTTGCATAATTTATATATTCTTTCTCATGTATAGAACCCAATCTAGGAACGTAATACTGAGAAAGTCATGCTAATGTTATTTCACGATTCCTTTTTATTTCAAAGACTTAGTGAAATCTTTTTTGAAAACAGAATAATTATATTTACATTATTTTCATTATTAAAACACTCCAAATATCTAAATGAAATGAATTCCGCTTAGTGAATGATAAAGAGCTTTGCATTTTATTAATAGAAGAATACAAAAATAATTATATTTACTTTAATTTTTATTATTAAAACCAAGTCAATATTTAAATGAAATGAGTTCTGCTTAATTACCGAAACAACAAAATTACATATTGAAACGTTTTTAGTAAAAACGATTCAAAAATAATTTTAATTGAAGTGTGTGATTTTCGGTAGCGACAGTAGCAGTAGCAGCAGCAG